CGCACTGCCACAGCATGGTGCTTTTGTGGGTGTGCTTTTTTTTTTTTTTTTTTTTAATGTTTTTGAAATTGTGTCTGTAGGATCTTACTGTTCCTGGTGAACTATGGGAGCTACATGAGTGAGGGACTTCTAAAATGTAATCCATGTAATGTAGCTTTTCATCCCAGAAGTGTGAATACAACAGTAGAAGCCAACCCCACTTTAATAGCAGTCTGTGAGTTGTAGGCTATGGACTGCATCAGTTGAACTTTGCTTAGGATTTGTCGTCACAGACCTCAAATGGTGGCTGTGGGTGTGCGCTGAAGGGGGTTTTGTGTGTGTGTGTTTTTTTTTTTTTTTCTCTCTCTCCGTATGTCCCTCCACCCCATCTTGAGCACTGAACACGTACACACAAAGACAGAGCAGTTCCAAGCATCTGAAATCTAAGAACATGGTAAGTTAATATGCAGAAGTATCTCTCTGACCAGGAGTAGTATAGGCGTTAGAGGACAAATGCTCTAGTGGCAACAAATTTATGCTTTCCTTTTTTTCACTTGAACTTCTGGTAGAGGTGGTATAGAGTTTCCAGAAGTGCTTACAATCCTGCTAAACTTAAAGTTGAACTGAATTTTAAAATGCAGGAAAGCATAGGGAGTTGGTTATCTATGATGAAATATCAGGGATGGTTTTCATTATTTAGTTTTTCTATTCTAGGCTGAGAATTTTTCTTGCAAGGTGAGAACATCTTTTATAATGATTTACAATAGGTGGTAGTAAAGAAGCGTGCATATATATATATAATATATATAGTCCTTTTAATGAAGGAGAGACTTACTAATTACTGACCAAGTAGGAAAAAAATGTTTTACAAATGCTATTCTTAACTAAGCAGTCCCTTTTTGTCTATTTAACATACTTGTCAATTGTTAAATCTTTTCAAGTGACTCTCTTCAAGTCACTGAAAGATTCAGCAGTTCTTTAGTCAGCTGCATGATAACATTTAATTATGCTTCCCAGATTGAAGTAGTAGATTCATGTAATGATGCCAAAAAGGAATATTCATCCTCTTAGAGAGCCTATCAACTTGAAATTGTATTTTCAAAACTCAATTTAGTGTGTTCCTGATTGCAAGGAAGATTAATGTTTCTTAAAATACTTTATTGCTGCTTTGTGGAAACAACTGCTGAAAGCAAGTGTTTGATATACGAGAAACTGTCACTGAACATAAAACTTCAGTTCATGAAACCTGTGCTGAGCTTGCACTTGGGCTTTCTGGGTTCTTGCTTCATATGAGCATGCAGGGTGCCTTTAACAGAATTGGAAAAATGGAATGGGCAAGGGTCTAAAGCAATTTTCTTGAGCTAGGAAGGAAGCTTTAGGACTCACTGTTTTTACTGTACAGGCTGTCAAAGGTCCTCAAGGATGTGGGTATTTTTTAAATCACCTCTGAAGTCAAAACACCTGCTTTGCATGATGAGGTGATTTTAAAAAATACCCACATCCTTGAAGTCAAAACACCTGCTTTGCATGATTTGGGATGGTGTCTATGGAGTTAGAAAGTAGTTTTTTATGTAGCTTCTGTAACTTGGTGCCTGCTACCAGATGTGGTTGTGTTAAAGCATGAGATCATTTTCTGACCCACCCAGGAACAATTTGTAAAATACCTCTAGCATGAAATAACATTGGAACCCACTTCCAGAAGTGTTACTTCTCATCTTGGAAAAAAAGTCCGTGGTAGTGATTGTGCAATGTTTTCTTCTCACTATTTGGCAAAACCCATACTCCTCAAGCCCTCTTTTCCTATTTCTGGTGTTACCTGCTTAAAGGGCCGCACCTTTGACACAGCACTATCCTGGTGAATCCACCCCCCAGGGAAGTCAGCACTGCTCTTAATGGTCTTACACTAAAGAAAGGCTGGCAGCTGCTGAAGGTAGAGGTAGCCTGGAGCTCCTGGTGCCACTGCCAGCTGCTGTAGGGATGCTGAGTGAATTTCCTTGCTTCAGTGACAACCCAATGCTGCTTTAGCATTCAGGGTCCTGTGGCTGCAGTGGGGCCCTTTAGCCCAGAGCTCACGTTGTTCTGCTGGCTCGGTGGGAAGGAAGGGTTGGTGTTCGCAGACCCTGCCTTTCTGTTTGCCTTTACAAAGCCCTGCTCCTGAGGCTTCCCTTTCTCAGTTGTTCTGGTCTTCAGGAGAGTCAGATTTCTCTCCTTCCTTGTGCTTCATTAGCACCTTCCTTGTAGCAGCTTCAGGCAGGAGCCTGGGTGACCCATTCCCACACAACTGCATCGTAGCTGGGGGTGGCAGGGACTGGATTCCTTTCCCATATGTTATTTATACACAGTACATATTGTGCAATATATAGCAGACACTGTAGACTGAGCCTGCTTTTTTGTAAATCTGCCTTCTATCACCTTGCTGAGAGGAGAGTCAGCCTTGCCCTCTGCTTCCTCTAGATTGTGCAAGTTCTGCAAACACTGCAGCCAGCCCTGGGACACTCACATAGGAAGAGATTGGGACTGGCTAACAGATTCCTCGTTGTTTCCCAGAGACTGAGTGGGCTTAAACTGCATGTTGATGAAATTATCCAGGGTGTTCAAAGCAGACAACTATTAGGGAGATGCATGCTGAAGTATCAAAAGCATGGTTCTTACTAATGTACTATAAACTCTTTTTATTTCTGCTACTTTTTTTAAAATATAGTCTCATTCTCACACTTCAGCCACACTGCAATTCATTTCTGTTACATTCATGTCTAAGCCAGTGGGTAGGTAATCAGACCAAACACAACCAAGAAACCTTAGACTGGCTATCAAGTCTGTCTTTAATAGCAAGACAAGGTCATGGAACAGCCATGCAGTACAGGACAGCAGCAGCTCTGCCACCTGCTTGTGAAGAAGCATGTGCAACACGGTGGGTTTATCACAGTCTTTACCCAAACGAGGGTGGCTCTGCTTACGTTGTTATGATGACTTTGATTTTCCACTGGGCATAGGCTCCAAAGGGCCCTGCAAGGTTAACTGCCTCCTCCTGTGCTGGCCAAGGCCCTGTAAGGCAGCAGCTCCCAGGGCGGTGCGCCGGCCACCTGCAGGCATCCTTACAGTGCATCTTCTCAGTGTATGTTCAAAGGGAAAGTACTACGAGTGCAACTAGTACTTGTGCCCTTGCCAGGAGGAATTAGGTAGATTAACATGAAGTGTTTCAGCAGAGAAACATTCTAGAAAGACAGTAAGTTTATTCATGCATCTGCAGATGGTCTTCTATGTTTCTGGAACCAAGGTCATAGGCTGAAAAAAGTGATCCTTGTAATTGGCCGCTTTAAATAGCATCCTTTTCAGATGGCTTTTGTCTTTCTCTTTTCTACCAAGTTCTTCAAGAAGAATTCACCTAATTAAGAGGCAAAGAAGCACCAAAAGCATTTAAGTATTTCAAAGCTCTACATTCTTACTATTGTATTCTACAATGCAACTGTCCTTACCAGCATTCTGTGGCAATTCAATTCTGTACAATACTTCCCCTATACAGATATAAAAATGAAAACCTGCTAACCCAACACCCCTTTCATTCTCAATGACCATGTTTTTCCTTGACTTCACTTATGTCCAAGGATATGAAATCATTCCAACAATCAAAGATGAATTACTTCCTAAAATAAGAATTATTTTTCAAATAAATTATCAGCACCTTGTTGTGAAAGCTGCTATGAACTTTGCTTAAGCTGACTTTAAAGTAGTCTGAAAAGCAAGGTATCCCAGCTATGTCTCTTCTGTTCTCTTTTTAGAAAAAAAAACAGGATAGTAGACCTACAACATAACAGTCCCCTTAAGATCATGTGTTATTTAACATAGTGCTTTGTTAGAAAAAGCACTGCCATAACTATCTAATTATTTCTGTGGCACTACAAATAAATTCTTTCTAAAGCAACAAGAATATACCACAAAAAAGGGCCACTCCTAAACCCTGCAGGCTTCAAGAGGCAGGATGGCAGTAAATGGAAAATTTGCAAATCGTGTTTCTTTTATGTGAATCCTGCCTCAAGCAATAAGTACAGTACAAAGCACATTGGGCAAAAATGCACCTAAGCAGCACAGTAATCATACACATACCAGCTACTGCCCTACTCACGCATGGAGGTGACCTCCAGAAGACAGTATGTATCAATAAAATATAAACCAAAACTCCACCCTGCCCTTGAGCTAAGGTGAACTCTGTTACATATTACTTCACAGCTGTTAACTTTACTTAGGATATAAAATTTTATTATGCAATCTAATGCACGTCAGCAATTTACCTGCTTTGTAAGAGGAGCGCACCAAAGGCCCACTAGCTGTGTAATAGAATCCAAGATCATTTCCTACTTTCTCCCAGTACTTGAATTTTTCAGGAGTTATATATTCTTCAACCTGAGTGAAAAGAATTAATTATGATCAGGTAATAATGCAAGGGAAGTGGATGCAGAGAGAATGTTAGCAGAGAATAATTATTTCACAAGTTCAAAATTTTACATTCTAAAACTTGCAGCAAAGCGATACAAGTGCCATTTCTCTCTGCTTTGTACCAGAAGCATGCCCTTAATCTGCTTTTCAAAGCTAGCTATCAGAAAAAGTTCAGAATGTAGGAACTGGTCGTTGCCTCATCATTTCCTGCACTCTATTTTTGACTGGTCATTTTGAGCAAACCCTTAGTCCAAGTTAGTTAAAAACACCACAGCCTATGAACCTTTTCAACAGTAGTATCTCAGGGAAGCGGAATAAGAGGACAAAGATTCAAACACTTCTAGACTGACTGCGGAACAAGAAAACCTAGAAAGCTGGTAATTTTCACAGGTGAAGTGACATCACTAAGGAAGAGCCTACGAGATGGGGAAGGTGAAATGGCATCAGCCACTACATTTACACTGGAACCGTTTGCCAGATCAGGCCTTGGCTCTGACCGCCTCCCCAGCTAGTAGCAAGCAGCAGTGAGAAGCCTGCAGAAGGCAGCAGAGACAGAGATGTGGTCATTTTTAGCAGAGAGCCCATCGGGTAAGATGGACAAGGAACCATTTCCCAGCATCTGCTGCTATGGCAGGGAGGCAAATTAAACCCCCTTTTTAAAAAGGGGAAGCACTGCTGCAGCAAGGCAGAGGCCATACTGCTGCTGGTACACTGCGGGCACCCTTACCTTTAGGTGACGCTTTGTTGGCTGCATGTATTGTCCTAGGGTCAAGCAGTCTACACCGGCCTCACGCAACACTAAAAGCAAAATTTCTTGTTAGTGGCAAAAGAATCACAAGGGATTGTCAGCACCTGAAAAACATCCTGCTTGCATTGCAAGCTTGAACAGAGGTCGCTCGTGGCATGCTGGAGAGGTTAGTTACATTGTGCTCTCTGATAAAGAAAACCTGTCATCTCCAGCAGTGGCAGGTAAATTAGCGGTGAGCTCCGCACTGCTGCAAGGAGACTCAGCGATGCCTGAGCTGCCTAGTTTAAAGCTGTGCCGTGCACTGCACTGCGGTCGCCTGTCTCACTGCGCAGATGACGAGCTCTGCCTTTTCATTTCATTGCTTTTTACTCTATCTTTAGGTCAGAGCCTTCATTTGATAAAATGTGTACATATGCACAAACCTTTGGGGCTTTTCCACTCTTTCAAGTCTTGATGCTGTTACGTGCACAATTCTTAAGAGCTAAAAATCCCCGCGGAATTGCCAGCACATTTGGACACTTACTTAATTTTTGTACCTGCTGCACTTGTAAGCTGCGTCCCCTAGAATTTGAATATACACTAGAATCAGTCTACAGAAAATGAGTTAACTTAAAGCCTACTTATGGAGGGAAAGCTGACCTGATACTCAGCCAACCTGAATAATCATGTTCACTGCAGCTAATGGGGTATTCTCAGCAAAGCGGGCAGGGGGAGGGACGGACACTGAAGAATCAGTTTGCATGAGTTTCTCCATACATTCTAGCCACTGGGGCTGGTTGCCTCAAAATAAAATAGGAAAAAAAGCAAATAAAGACATAGTCTTTTTACTGAATATGGTTGGTAAAGTGTTGGCTGCAAGCACATTTGCAAAAGCAGTCTGAAAGCAAACAGCACCAAATCTGAACTTTCATGCTGTCAAGGCCAGGAAATGCCAGGCAGGCAGTGTGGAGAGTCAAGAAGGGTTAATTTCACTGCCCCAGTTGTAGGGTAGCTACCGAAAAACTAAACTGTGCCAGTGCACTCTACCTAAAGGCTTATCTACACAGAATAAAGCACCTGGAAGACCTTCTTTCAACTGAATTTGGCAGGGGAAAAAAAAAGGGGGGTATTTTTAAAATTTTTTGTGCAAGTCCTTTCCATTCATTTAGCACTGGAAACTTTTTTCTCTCTCAAAAAAAAAGAAAAAAAAAAGAAAGAAAAAAAAACCCTCACCAAACAAACAAAAGACCCACAAGAACCTTCCACAGCTCCAAGGAAAAGCACTTTTTTTTTTTTTTACAGCCGTGCAGGCAAGCCAAAGAATTATTTTTTCTGCCACCTCTAAAAAGAAACCCAGAATAAGGTGACGGTTTTGCAAACCCATTATTTGAGTATTGCAAAATTATGAATATTAGAAAGGTCACATGAAGATGGTCATAGCTCCCACCGCGATGGCACAGAGGCGGACAGCGCTTTAGGAGGCATTCCCAAACGTGCCAACACGCTCCCATGCCCACTTACGCTTCATGGTGGCGTGCAGCTGCTCGTCCGTCTCGCCCAGGCCCAGCATGATGGAGGTCTTGGAGACGAGCTCGGGCCGCAGCTCCTTGGCGTGCCGCAGGACGCGCAGCGACTGCTCGAAGCTGGCGCGGGGGTCGCGCACCCTCCTGGGGCGGCAGGGCCGCAACATGGCGGCGCACGCGCCATGAGCGGCGCCCTCTGCCGGCGCTGCAATCGAGCCCGTCGTTTGCCTAAACCTCCCTTCCGCACATGTGTCAGCCCCAGACCTTTGAGCAGGTTTCCAAGAGCTCCCTGCTCAGTCCTGAACTCTGCCCTGCGGCAGCGTTAAAAGGAGCCAGCAGCATTTTATAGCTGCGCCTGCAATGCAGAAAAATCTGTGTTTTCCTCATGGCAAAGCAGTTGCTGAAGAGGTCACATTGCAATTGGAGAAACTCACTTGCTAAGACTGTCACGGACATAGATTTTAAAGTGTACAGTATTTTGTTAAGCAAGTGAATTTTCATCCAAAAGACAATCCGACTTGAAGTCTGTTTCTCAAGCAAACTACCTTACAAAGTGGTCCAAAGTATTCTCTATTAGAATATATGCTTTTTCTCCCCTTAAGTCTTTGATTTGAAAAGCACATATAAAAAAATCAAGATGAATAGGGCTGGAGCATTTTTTCCCCAATTAGTGAGCTATTTGGTTGTAACATACGGAAGAATTATTGATATTATAGTACCATCAACACTAGATAGGAGAGGAATTTAGGAGCCTGGGAGCTAAAGCCTTAGCGAGGATTTAAATAAATAGCTCTGACAATTCCTTTCTCAAAATTCCTTAAAAAAAACTCGTATTTATAGATTGCCTTCTACATATTATCTTTGCTTACCTCTGTAATTCTGGAACAGTTTCCACATTGTGGGCATATACATCTAGTCCTGACAATGCTACTTTCTCCACAGCTTTAAGGTCCCCTCGAAAATCAGGAGTTAGGCATTCTACTAGAATTTTAGGATTCCTGAAAAACAGAAACTGAAGCTGAAAACATCAGTGAGATTTGTATCTCTGCTGCTAAAATCAAGTATCACAAAATATTGCTCTGGAGTATCTATACTTAATCAAAGCTCAGTAAAAAAATAAATGTAGCTTAATTGGTGATGCTCATATATGCATAAAAGACTTATTTCTCCAAATACTAATATTAGAATTTAAACAAAACATTATGGTATTTATTTCCTGATTTTACTGATGGGAACCAAAATGAGTAATTTAGATAATATTAAAACCATTCTTAGTCAAATAATCACATTTACTGTTTACATATATCTTTTCCTGTGCATCTTTCTGCAGGTTAATTTAACAAGTTTTTTTAATGTGATTTTAGTATGATAGCTTCTGAAACAAAGCAGCAATCTACTGGGAGAGATTCCTGGGCAATACTGCAGGATGTTGCTAAGTCTGGTGTCCAGCAGCCAGACTCCAGCTCATAAGGGCACACGTATTTATCTGCACAGAAACCTTTCAACGTGAGGCTTAAAATTCAACACTAGATAAAGGCTCAAAGGAAGTTATGGGAATTAATTCTGCAGGTGAGACAAGCATGTTATCAGCAGGGCAGCAACATAGAGACTGAAGAAATGAGGAAAACGAGAAGGTACAATTAAAGATTCAGAAACAGCCACTGTGAAAAAAAAGTGCAAAGCATACTGACTGCTGCTGAAAGAAAAATTCAAACTTCCTTGTAAGCAGTGACACTGTTCTCTAAATCCACTGTGTCTGACTCCAATTTTTAAGAATAATATACCTCAAAACACCATGTGCTCACATGCTGCTAATCCAGATGCATGGTCAAACTTAGCTTAAATAAGCCTAGGCTAAATTGTATCCATGGATGCTAAAACATACCCAAATTTGAAATACTTTTGGGACCATTATACCAGAAGAATGAATAACAGCAAAAAAGGAGCATAAATAAGCAAAGGGTAGATGTCTGTACTCGCCTGGCACCTGGGCACATCCAGATAAAACTAGTTTTGGCCTGCACACAGTACCACATCCTGAAGTCTTAATACCAACTTTATAATATTAAAATGTACCTTTCCTTCAGATGAGAGACAGTCTTTGCAAAGTGCTCTGCTCCACCATCTGGCATATCTGGAAGCAATTAATTTATTCAATTAACTTCTTATTCAATAAACATATTTACTGAAAAGCCACAGAAAAAATCCAGTGTAAAATTCAAATCCAAACAAGCAGTACAATTTTTACTTAAAAGCTTAGACCCTAGTTTTATCTTACCACAATGGCAAAAGTTTATAATAGTCTACCAAGCTGGGTTCTGCACTCAGGCAGACTATATTTAAAGTGGACTCTGAATTTATTTGTCCGTGCGAGTTCACTATCAGCCTGAACATGGAATTAATTTATCTATTTATGTTTTTGATTTGAGATAGTTCCATAAAAACAGAAGTAGATACAGTTAAGCCACTTTGTTGCTATTACAAAGTTACAGTTACAAGCCACATTGAAGCTATTAGACTTTCAAAGGCAATATACCGGACAGTCTTTGCAACACAGTCTCTCTGACCTATACAGTGTTACCACAGAGGAGCCATTACAACTGCATGGAAACTCTTTTGTTAAGTGTAGCCTGTTCCAGGCCTAGTTTGGGGACGGAAGTTCTATAGTGGCGTTACATAAGAAAAAGGGCCTTTTTCTTTCTTTTTTTTTTCTTTTTTTTTTTCTGATCAAATTATAGAACATCATACGTATGTATAAATATTGACAAAAACAGGTCATAAAAATGCTCTTCTAGGCTATTCAATCACAAAATCAGTCCTGGCTTTACTAAAAGAACACAAGCTTCCAGGACTATCGAATAAAACACCTTTTTTTTTTGAATAGTTCATAACAATTTCTCGTATATTTTAACAGACAGAGAATACTAAGAACAGGCATAACCTTCCCAAAGTTCCAGCACTGCTAACCCCTTTAAAATAGTGTATGTCACTAACCCCGTGTGTGCTGAGGCCCATAGCTCTCGTGGCTGCTCACCCCAGAAGACATCAGTAACAACATACTAACCGTCTCTGTCCACAGACGTCAACACAACATAATCCAAGCCCCATTCAGCTATAGCTTTGGCTGTATTGTAGGGCTCCTCGGCATCTAGTGGAGGTGGATTTTTTGCTGTCTTTACTGAACAAAATCTGCAACCTCTAGTGCATGTGTCACCCATCAGCTGAAATAAGAAAGACATTCCTACCTTTATATCTTACACATCACTATTGTTTGGCCAAGAAACAGCTAATTATGCTAAGTCTTACAGAAATGGAGGAAAAAATAAGGACACTGATTCACTGTATATTTCATTTAATAAACCTGAACAGCTACAGCAGAGATTGCTGCATATCCAAATATGCAGTGACAGAGCACTGGAACAGGCTGCCCAGAGAGGTTGTGGAGTCTCCTTCTCTGGAGATCTTCAAAACCCCCTTGGACGCAGTCCTGTGCCACGTGCTCTAGGTGACCCTGTGTGTGCAGGGGGGTTGGATTAGATGACCTCTAGAGCTCCCTTCCAACCCTAAGCATTCTATGATTCTATGCTTCCAGCTGCTCAGGCCTTTGCAGAACACTTCAGCAATGGTTAATGACTTACCATAATAGTAGCTGTAGCTGTAGCATATTCACCACCTCCCCAGCATTCTCCAATGTTGGGGCAACGAGCTTCCTCACAGACCTGAAGTTAAACAAACAAAACCCAGCTCGTTCTGTGATAAATGAGAAGATTAACAGACTTACCCATCATTACATTAAAAAGTCAGTAATAGAGCTAGGAATAAAATCATTATTTCCTAGCATCTATTCTTCTATCATTCTTTTCCTCCACTTTGCAACTTCAAACACTTCTCAGCCAAGTATCTGCCTTAATTAATTAGCACTGATTATCTGTCATTAACATTGTAAATAAAATTTAAAAGATGATAAAATATTCACAACAACTAGGATACATCAAGACATGATCTTTTCCTCCAAAGCAAAAAAAAAAAAAAAAACTATGCACACCTGACACTTATTACCACCTGAGAAGTATATTTGACAAAACCCGAATGTTTCTAGCATTTCTTACCATGCAAAACATGTGTGTAATGCTGGAATCATATATATGGTTCTTTTAAAGACACCATAGATAACATCTTCAAATACTGTAAGCAATAGGCCCTAGTATTTAAATCACAGGTGGAAATATAAAAAATTAGGTACAGGTTTTATTCTTCATTCTCTCTATACATTAATTTCACCCCTGGAAAAAAATGGTGTTCAGCACTAGGCCTGGTTCTTGGTTTTAGCCTTAACGATCTCATAAAATATGATGTCCAATTGTCCTCCACAAGGAAATAATTTCAAACCATTAAGAGAGAGCCTTGTTTCTACAAGAAAACATGGTTGGTTCTACACTTACTGTATGAAGATTTAAGCTTCTCAGGGTATTCTTTAATTTATTATAGTTCTTTCCCATAGGAATCTTTGTTTTCAGCCATGGCGGAAGTCGCAGCCTGAATAACATCAAGCAGACATAAGGATTAGTAAATTCTTTACGTGGTAAGCTTGCATTAATTTAATACAACCACTTTATCTTATGACAGCTCCCAGTTATGAAAGATGGCTTGAAAATATCAGTGCTTCTCATAGTTTCAATTGACATCTTTCTTCTACATGTATCATCAAGCCACCATTCAAAATTAGGTGCTTGTTGTCATCATAAGGTTTAAAAATGTTTAATGTTGGTATTTACTAGTCCCTCAAAGGGGGTAGCAACAAGCAGCATTTTCAAATAGTGGCAGTATAAATTACAAAACTATCACAAAGTCTGATAAAATAATGAATAGAAACATATCCTGTTGTAACCACTTTTGTTTTATTGCATTAAAAACACTTTCCAAGACCCAAGCGGGCTATACTCACTCCGCAGCACGGCCCTCACCTCTCCCCCTTCTGCCGCTTCAGGCTGCCG